CCCTCCCGCCGGCCCGCGGATTTAAAGGGGCAGCGGCGCCGACGGGGGAACCATGCCGAACTTCTGCGCGGCGCCCAACTGCACCCGCAAGAGCACCCAGTCCGACCTGGCCTTCTTCCGCTTCCCCCGCGATCCGGCCAGGTGAGCCCACCTCGGGAGGGGCGGGCTGGGGGAGGGGCGCCCGGCTCTCCCCCTCAGGCCCCGCCGGCGCACAGCGCTGCCTGTCTGAGGAGACATCGTGCCGGAGAACTGGCTCCCTTCCCCCTGCCCGCTCTGCTTCCCCCGCGCCTCCCCAGCCGCGCCTCCTTACCCGCGGGGCCGGCGGCCGCCCGGACCTCCGATGGTGCCTGCGGAGGCCGCGCTCTCTCCGGCGGGGCGGGGCCCTGGGACCCTCCGGGCTGTGGCGGCGGGTGCGCCTGCGCCGGGACGGCGGCGGCTGCCGCCCCTCGGGGGAGTGGTGGGGACGGGAGCGGCGCCGCTCCGGGATGCGGCGGGAAGAGGGTACCTGGCCGAGACGGGGTGGGGGCTGCCTGCCTGTGGGCAGGGTGCGGCTGTGTGTGAGGCGGTGCAATGGGATGTATGGCTGTGAGAGATGGAGGGCAGCTGGAGGGGTGTCGGAGCCGTGGGCTCAGGGAGGGGAGCCCTGCACTGTGAGGGGCCCGCGCAGGCTCAGCACTGGTTCAGGCAGTGAAGGTCCATCAGTGGTGCTCTGTGTATTAGGAGATGTGGTGCTGCACGATGAGGTGTGTGTGTGGCAAGTGGGACACCACTGCGGCGGGGAGGAACTGTCACAAGATTGCTACTAGGATGGTAGCAAAGCATCATGACCAACAGCAGAGGTGATGGGAGAAATTCCCAATAGGTGAAAAGCAGGGATGGTGTACTGGTAGAGCAAAAAATGTGTGAGTGAGACACAGTGAAAAATAAATCACGCACTTAGACGTAGAAACCCCCATGTAAAGGTTCACCCTTAAATCAAGATGATACTCTTAAAATCACTTGATTTAGCATGATGCTCACAACATTGAATGGGGCACAGACATAGAGCAATACCAGTTACTCTTTTCTAACAGTTGGTAGTTAAGGCTGGGTTTTTCATGATTTATACATGATATTTACTTCCTTCCTTCCTTGAAGCTGCTTGACCTGATTTTTGGAAAAATCAAAACCCCATGGGAATTATGCATATGTAGTATTTTCTAAGGAAACAGACCCTCCAAGCAATTTCAAATTAAGATACAAAAAGCTTATATAGGTAGTAGCTGCTCTCTCTCTAAAGTTGTGATTTTGTATATGTTATGAAGTTCTCCTGGATGAATGCAAGGCCTTGCTGTAAAGGCTATCCAGACCTCTTGATGTCTAGTACATGCAAGGTATTGTAATACAATCCATATTCCGTATGCTTTTGCTTTAATAAGAACTGAAATCGAAGTGCTTGTTTACCTACTCTTATTCTGTCATTTTCATGATTTGCTCTTACTGTTGTCTCTTTCTACCATCTGTCCTGTGAGACCCTTAAGATCTCACACAAAGGAATATCTGCAGTTAGTGTGGAATTGAAGAAAATTGGCACTGTCTGAGCTTCAGACTTAATTTGTAAGAGGTCCATGCTGTAAAATGTGAGTCACATCAAGCTGTACAGAATTTGTCAGTAGATGGCAGTTTACTGTATGAAGAAAATACCCTCTTGAGTTTATAATTTTTTTATGGAAGGACATTTTGAATGAGTGTTTTCCATGGTAGCAGTGCAGAGAGGTACTTAAAGGTGCGTGACTTTTCATTTTAAAGATTAAATTTTTTAAAACTCTATTTTATAAACTGTAGGATGGTTTGTGTTGGAAGGAACCTTGAAGCTCATCTCATTCCAAGCCATGGGCAGGTACACCTTCCATTAGACTGCCTTTCTCCCAGCCAGCCCTTGGAACTTCCAGGAATGGGGCAGCCTCAGCTTCTCTTGGCAACCTATGGCAGGGCCTCCAACCCTCACTGTAAAAAATTTCCTTCATATATCTAACCTAAATTTCCCCACTTACAGTTTGAAGCCATTTCTCCATGTCCTGTCACTACAGTTCCTGATGCAGAGTTCCTCTCCTACTTCCCTGTAGCCCCTTCAGACACTGGAAGGTGCTGGGAGGTCTCCGCACAACCTTCTCTTCTCCAGGCTGACCAGCCCTGACTTTCTCATTCTGTCTCCACACAGGAGATGCTCCAGTTCTCTTGCCAGCTTTGTGGACATGATCCAACATTTCCATGTCTGTCTTTATATTGGGGCAGACTGTACACAGTATTTCAGATGGGGTCTCACAAGATGGGCAGGAGGAAGGAGAAACTATACATAAACTGTTTATAGCATCTTTGTACTCTTAAAAACAGTCAGTGACAAAGACTATGTTCTAAGTTCTCTAGACGTTCCCCCCCTTAATATTTTACAACTTTCTGTCCAAAGTTGATCATATATTCTATTTTACCAAGAGCATTTAGAGACTGATAAATCCGTGCATCCTTTTGGTTTTACAGACTTGAGGGTGCTTTATTCTGAGGGTTGGTCTACAGTAGTCTGTGGATGGAAATGAAAATATGTTCCTTGTACTGCTTGCTCTCACTTTTGTAGGTCAGACTGGGATGGTGAGCAAAGTGCATTGTCCCAAAATGTTATTTGCCCTTCACAGCTTACAGTGGGAAAGCTGAAAATAAAGTTGTTAAAATACATCTTAAAGTTGTTAAAATACATCATCCACTACTCATTTGATGTGAGAATGGTGTATCCAGTTTCCTTACCTAAAAACTTACAGGAAATAGTATATGGCAGTATATGGTCCTTCCTATTTAACTTCCAATTTGGATTTTACTGAAAATACCTGAGTTAATCCTTCATCTCCAGATTGTATGTCTTGTAGCTGGATTTTGTTTTATTTATTATTTATTATTTTGTGTAAAGTTGTCTCCACCCATTTATTTTCTAAGAGGCTGGTCCTGGATATAATTCTCTGCCAAACACTGTTCCTGTTGATGACCACACCAGAGGCTGGTGAGAGTTATTTCCAATATCTTGCTATCCCATAGTACTACTCCTAAACTCCAGGCCATTTTAAATCTACCTGACTACAAGTTTGAGCAGTTTTATTATTCCTTTGTTTCACAGGAGCCTTTGGTAGGAGCTGGACAGTGTACTAAAGTGATTTCTCTTGTAAGCTTGGTAGCTTCCAGCAACACTTGTATTTCAGTTCCATTAAATACATTCTTTTCTGCTGAAGTAAAAGAACCATGGTTCCTTCAGTAGCATAGATGTATGATGCCCTCCAAAAGCTTATTTAGAATTAGTGCAGTCACTCATTAATTACATCTCCACCAGGCTGCTCTTCCTAATGCAAGTCAAGTCAGCCTCATGGGCATTCACCAAGGGTTGTAGCGGTTCCGCTTTAAGCACCTCTAAGTTTCTCATTCCTGTGTAGCCTGTGTGTCATTTGCCATTCATGTATGAGGATCCATTGGAGAATGGGACTAGATCCAAGTTCTCTAGAGACTGATCATGCATATCTCCCTGTAGGTGGCTGAAGTGAAACACTACCTGAGCAGCTACAGTGTACAGAAACACTACATCATGATGCAGCTCACTGTTGAAGGGAATGGGAAATAAAGTTATGGATTAAAAAAAAATCAAACTAATATGGGTATTTAAATAATTTATTTGCATCTGTATGCTCTTTGTGGGGATGATGCTTGTGAAGCATGTTTAAGAATCATGTTCATTTCATGTATACATGGTTGTTGGGTGACTTGGACCTAAGTTTGCTCCTTTTCGAGGTAATTGTTGTTTCTGTTTGTTGCAGTGTGTTGTCGTGGTGTGCCTCAGTTTCCCAGTCCCTCCCCTGAAGTTTCCTTCCCCAGGTGGTGTGTCAATCACCTCTCCTTTTCCCCACCCTTGACCCCTGCTGGGCACTGTCTATCAACCCAGAAATTCCAGAGGGCATCGAGTGATTGGCAGGTTCAAAGGATGCTCTCCACCCCCTGGGGGGCCATTGGCTCACCCAGGTGTCCCTCTCACCTGAGACCCCCTCCCCCCATATCTGGTTGGTGCTCCCTGTGTTCCCTCCCCTGCCCCTCTCCCCAGGTAAAAGGACAAGCACACCACGAGGTGGGAGTTCTGTTGGAGTTGTTGCAGGATTCAGAGGCCATGCAGCCCGAAATAAAAACTCTGGATTCAAAACTCTCCATCAGGACCCACTCCTTCCTTCACCATCGCCTTAAAAGTTTCTCCAGCTCAGGGAGGCCTCTTCTACCAACAAGCCCCAGTCCGCAAGCACTGGAGCTTGGAACATGCCCGGACTTGTCCCCACGTGCCCAGCTGCAACCACAGGTACTGAATAGCGTCTCTGGGGAGAAAACTCCACAGGTGTGGCTATTTGGTCAGCAGCTGGGACCAGACAGACCAAGGCAGTCCCGTTCGGTAATACTGGTAAACCACAATAGCTGCTATTGCTTTTAACATAGGAATTATTCCCTGCTGCTACAGCATCCCATTGAGTTGAGTCATCAGACTCAGGGCAGTCTTGTGGATGCAGGTTTTGCATAAGGACTTCACAAGCTCCATAAGCCTGTCTTCTCATGCAGAAATAGTTCAAAAGGCCTTGGAGTAATCTGGCAATCCCAATGCCAGAGTCAAAGCTAAAGCTTTGGTTGGAAAGCCTTTTCTGTTTCTGAACCCCATTGCACAGGCTCCCCATCCTCTGTCTTGGTAGTGTTAAGGAATCCATTCAGTGCTGGCAGCTCAGGGGCAGCTGCAGCGCCAGCTGCAGATGGAGCTCTGGTGGCAAGAGCCAGAAGCAAGAGGCACTGCTGACCCTTTGCACAGCAGAAGGGCACAGGGACCTGTGGCACAGCCAGGCATATGGACACTCCAAGACACCGCAGGAGCCAACAACACCCAACTTTCCCACACTCAGACTGGTGAGAGGACTTGGACTTGTTTGGGTTCCCTCCTTGGATGCATCATCTTGAGCTGTGATTTTGTAACTGCACTGTGATTGCAATTATTTTAAAGATTCATATGACTGAGATTGTGCTATGGGAAACCTGGAGTCAAGCCACTAAGGAAATCTGGTCTGACTGTCAGAGCTGCCAAGGGGCCTCAGTCCCAGCTCAGGTGGTGCAAGTGTGTCTGCCAGAGTGGCTCCTGGGTGGCCCAACAGGGAAGTTTCCTTAACAGTACCCTCTGCCAATGATTCACTGAACTACTTTACCCCTGGTATATCCAGTCTGCCGTATCTTTCTATCTTTAAGAAATCCTTGCAATTGGGTTTTTATTTGTTACTGGTTGAGTAACCACAACCTGGTTACCGTAGCCTGGACCTCTCCTGGGTCTGCTAATCTTTGTCCTTTTATTAATATAAATCCTAAATATTTTA